GGCCGCGGGCCACCAGTTATGCATCGCTGATCTTGAATGTACAGAATAAGAATGTATTTGTTTTTATTTATTTGTTTATTTCTTGACTAACATGCCAAAGTGCCAAATCACACCTTCTCTTGGCATTATAGCCACGCCACATTTGTCAAATAGCTGCTTGAAAAGTATTTTTACATTACGGCCACCAGTTATGCATCACTGATCTTAAATGTACAGAATAAGAATTTGAATGTATTTGTATTTATTTATTTATTTGTCAAATAGCTGCTTGAAAAGTATTTTTACATTTCACGCGGTGCCTAAAATCAGTACATAAAGTTAAATACACCCTGATGGCAACATTCCTTCTTCTTCTCACAGTTTGATCACGCACACATCTCTATAATCTATAGTCTGTGTCGCGGACGTGTCAGATAAACGATGTGACTTAGAGTAAAGTGAACGCAGCGGAGAGATTAAACGCTCGTGAGGAGCTCATCCAACCGTGAGATTTGATTTGATCAATGCGATTGCGACACGATTGATTCACACTTGGTCCGACGCAGCAGAGCGACAAGCAAGGCGGGTAAACAAACGGCCATTAAAATCCAAGAGACAATCAATGGGAGAATATGGAACATGGATTAACCGTCGGTGGCCACGGTTTACGGTGCTTGTTTTCATTTGCTGCGACGTTACCTCCGAACACAGCGGCCTCTGTGTGCTCGCCGCTATTGTTTCTCTCGCCGTCTTGTGTCTGTTAATCTTTGCTGCTCTAATGACAGAAAAATGTGTGTTGTCGCTCCATTTACGAGCGCAGTCATTTGTTATGTGGTTGTTTTGGCACTCGGTTCACACAAATCAGCTTTACGACTATTCATAAGCAGCTCGGGCCCATTGACAGCACTGTGATGTGCAGTTTGTTCTCACCAGTCATGAGGGCAGCTGATGAACTTGGCATTAAGCCAGAGAATGGCCGTTTTTTTTTTCCTTGGAAGTTATATATTATATGCCTTAATGCTGTGGTGCTGATGACAGCGCAACAAGGATGAGCTGTCAGCATTCTTCTTTGCACCCAAACCGTGATAAGATGGACAGCAGGCCATTTGAAGAAAGGAAACACATCGCCTCGGGATGTGTTTCGAAACCAAAGCGGAGAATCAAGCAGCTCCTCTTTTGCACCGACAACTATTTGCCACCCTACTTAAACTTAATTTGCATCCTACCACACCGCACGCTGTATCCATCTCCGCCGAAACAACCAACATTCTTCAAATTCTCCATGTATGAAACTTTAATTTGAGAATTAGCAACGGGAAGATAAGAGTTCAGAGACGAGAGAAGAGGGTGTCCAAGGTCATCAGAGAGAAGAGCTAAGAGGTTTCTTGATGTCAGACATATGTTACCCGGCGAGCTTCGTGCTTTTGCAGCTTAAGAGAAACACGGGCATCTCTCCTGGGAAAAAGATTAAAGCAGATAATAAAGGGACTGCTTCCAATTTCAGTTGTTTGTGGAGATAAACTATGCATATATGTATATATATATATATATATATTCTCACAAACACACACACACACACACACACACACACACACACACACACACACATATTTTTTTTTCCACGACAACAACCAAAATTCCTTATCCCGTTTCTCGTCTGTATTGCACAGGGCTGATATGTTGCTGTCTGTCAAATAAGTCACTCTGTAATACTTTCCTCACCGGTTGCACGTGTTTATCTATATTGCCAAACTGATCACTGGGCTGTTTTGACGGAATGGATTTATTGAGATTGGCCAATATGTTCCTCCCAGTGCACGGCGGTTGCTGACAGGCTGCTGTGCGGGTGGACTTCTAAATTGTCTCATTGCAGCCTTGGGATGAGATAGTATCAGTAACTGGGACTGCAGATGAGTTTTAGTGGTCTGATTGTGTCATTTTGTTGATCCACTGGACATAAAGGTGTGATGGCAGCTGTAGGCGCAATACCAAATCTTTAAATGATGGTATATGTTATATTTAGAATGTGTATTTCTTCCCCAAATCTGTGATAATCTTTCTAGTGCCATCAAAACTTTCCTATAAGAAAGGTCGTCATTGCCACCATTAGCTATATAGTTGTCTGACTTTTTTGCCAAATCCTCAGGTAACACCAATCAAAGCAATTCATCAAGTGTGTGTGATCAATATATTCATTGTTTTGACATTTGTCTTTGAGGCACAAGTGGACACCTTAAAAATTTTGAATGGTGCAAGCATGTTGTCTATGTGATTTAAAGGTGACTGTGCCTAAATAATGAGTTTCTTCACCAGACGAAAGGCTAAATCCTTCCAGGATGCTTCAATTTGCCCTAAAACCTAGCTAAACAAGGCGTGTATTAACGTTCAGCCTCATGGATTGGAAAGAAATGAGCAAAATATTTTAAGAATATGCAAACGTCCCTCTTTTATTCTGCATCGAGGAACAATAACAAAAGGATAATGTGCAGATTACAGCTCCTTGCGGCAAAAATGGGCTTTAGAGGCGGAAATGTGCAACAGAGATTTTTTTTTCCCTCCCCCAGTCTATGAATTAGCCTAGTGTTCTGCCGCAAATATAGCGTGTAATATGCTTGCTAAAGGGGATTAGTGTGGAAATGGAACTCGAGATGCCTGGCATTTCAGGGATAACGTACAAAATACTCAATGAACGAGCTCAGTGACACAGTTCATGAATGCCATTCAAATGCTCCCAGTTGTTCTTTTGACATTTCTTCTTCAGATGGTGCAGCTGAAGGTTGCTAATCATAGAAAAAGCTTCAAAAGCCTTCTAACCACTCATAAAATCAACCTTGGGGAGCTTAGAGAAGAATGTTTGGAGAGAATGAAGCTTCCACTCGCATTTTATATGAATGCTAAGTGTGTGTGTGTGTGTGTGGGGGGGGGGGCGGGGGGTCCACCTTCAAAATCAATCTACACCCTCGGACAGGGATGGGCAACTGGTGGTCCACATGCAGCCCCCACCCATCGTCTGAGTGAACCTTTACTAAAACCTCATATCACCTGAAAAAACAAAAGTGTGAATTATGAAGCTGTTTCTTTTCAGTTTTTTTTTTTTTTTGAAACTTTTATTTTTGGGAGGGTTGTTTGTTTTGTGTTGTTTTTTCCTGTTTTGGGAGGATGGGCAACCCCCGTTTTCCCTGGGAAATTCATATTTGTGGTTTATCATCTTTTTTCTGAAGAATTTTTAGGGGTTACAAACAAACAAACAAACAAAAAAAAATCTCATACATTTCACTGCGTTTCAATTATATGCGGATCTTCGCTATTTGAAGGCTGGCGAGATCCCTATCTCTCACGAATGCGAGGGATACGATTTTAAGTTGTCATGTCACCATTCGCCACTCGATGGAAGACATCGCTTGGTTGCGCTTACACTGGGCCTCATACCACCCTACACAGGAGTAGGCCTAATAATTTTGGAATGACATGCATATACAAATGTTAGGTGAGTTTATTTTGCAATTAGTATTAGTTTGCTACTCAGCAGTTTTGTGCTGTCCTTGAATGGTAATTGTGATACCTTTTTGCACAAGAAAAAAATATCACGATTTGTGGTTATTTTTTAAATATTTTTTTTTGTTGAAGGCTGGATCTTTTATGTATGCATTGAGAATGACATATATTAAGATACCGGAATGCTCTTTAGCTGAATACAAAAACATGCAGGTATGTTGTCCATGTTTAGAATGGCATCACTATTCTTCTGAATGTAAGGGAGGAAACTGCTGTGTGTATCTCACCAAAGCACAAATTATAAGTGGATCGGAGGAGACTCGCCAGGTATAAATGTTGGTAGAATACGTACCCATTAATGAAAGGTTGGCAACTTGACACCAAAAATTGGGCAAAAAAAAACCAACCAACCAACCAAAAAAAAAAAACCCCACAACATCCCAGCTACTTAACTTTCAGTCATGTCAATTTTATGAAAAATGCAGCAGTGTTTTTGTTGGGGTTTTTTTTTAAGTTTTTTTTTTTTTTTTAACTTCAGGCAAACCTTTTTTGTGACTTGAGCTGCTGCTTCCCTTCCAGCCTCACCTCTGCAGTCCACCCTGTGTCTTATCTCAAGCTGTGTCCTCAAGCGAGCCCTTGTAAAGCTTCCAAAGGTCACACTTTGGGAGCTCTAAAAATGGTGCCAGTGTCTCTGAGCAAACAGGAATGTCATGACCCCTATGTCAGTACTTTGAATCAGCTTTTGACGGTGCCCAGTAGGAATTGGTGTTCCCTCTGTTTTTGTTTTGAAGAAGTCTTAGGGATGCAGAGGAAATGGGCGAACTAAAATTGAAAAAAGGAAACAGAGGGAAGACTGAACTGGTTTCTAATAAGAAGAAATTAGACATCAGAAGAGAAACGCATCAATCATTTCAACAATTTATCCTCACCTCAGCTCAGTTGTACTACTATGTGTTCTATGGGGTGATAAAAATTTGATATGGAGTCAATGATTACTATAAATATCCCATTGCAAATCAGTGTGTTTTCAGTTTATGACATTTTGAGCACTTCGAGGCACAACAGAGGAGGACCACAGGCTCTTACACAAACCAGGCCAGACTTCAGCAATGGCTAAGAACATCTGGGATTACTCTCAAACACACCGACGTTCACGCGCGCGCACGCGCGCGCACGCGCGCGCACACACACACTCAGCCTCATTTCTAATCTTGGGACCAAACAAAGCGACAGGGTCCACCTCGGCAAGATTCTGTCACTGTGAGGTGTTTATTAGAATCTACAGGCAGAGTGACCGTGACATGAAACACAAGAGATGAGCTGTTTAAATTTGCTCTCTATTAGCTCCCGCCACACACAGTTGATGAACAATGATGCGGGGTAGGCTCAAAAAATGAAAATACCTATAGATTTCTCATGGCACCTCATCCGTTATCTCCTTGTTTTTTTTCCACATTCTGTTCGTAGAGCATCATCAAAATGTGATTGGAATTTATTGGTTGCGTATCTGTGTTTGGATCTTGCAGGTCCAATGGCCTCCATGGATCACGGCAGAGAGCTGGAGGAAGCAGCTCCAGTGAGAAAGCTGGTGCAGCAAAGCCCTTCGAGGGGCGGTCAGAGCCACAGGCCAGCCGGCTGGAAGAGGAGACGCCCACGGCCCCGTCTTTCCCACAAGGGGCCAATGCCGTTCTAGAGCAAGGTGAGGTTCAAGGCTCGTCACGTTTCTTGGGCAGCGTTCAGTCAGTTTGAAAGGTTCCTGAGCATAAAACAGTCAAAATGTCACAATAGTCCCGGAAAGTCTGAATTCACCAAAAGAATGCTATTGTTGACTTGAGAAGAAAGGGCATGTCTCAACAGATTAATGAACTTGCTTGCCTTTATTGTATGACAGAGGTGGGTCCTTCGGCAATGTCATTCATTTAACCATATGGGAGATTGATATTGTTAGAAACTTAACCTTTGGGTTGATTGCACTGGAATAAATGGGTTCTGTCCAGCGGACTGAGTCAATTATAAATAACTCTTTAACAGAGATAACACTTTCGAGAGTTGGGTTTCTCATCTTAACCTCCGGTGCTTAAAAGAATGTTTAACTTTGCTGTCAAGCCAAACAAGCCGTTGTGTGAAAAATCCCTGATCAAAAATCTGAGACAATATTTTACTTCTCACCTATTCAGTTTGATTTTCTGGGCTGAACCAAAGCAAACTCCCTGTATTTCAAAAGAAAACAGACGAGGCGTCACCGAGAAACTAAAACATGCTGAGGCAACATGATCAAATGTACAGTGTATACACATGGTTGGCCTATGCACTCGCCAGTGTTTGCACATTGCGCAATGTCTGAATGTAAAGTCACAGCAACATGTTCATATGTATGCGTTCAGAAATACCCAAATGTGCTAAGAAACAAGAAACATAGGAACAATATCCCCGCCTTCCGCCACTCCCCAGGAGGTTCCATGCAAAAAAAAAAAAAAAAAACACTGACCTGCAGAGGCCGACCATAAATTCAAGCCCAAGTGAGTCGAGGCTGCAGCCTGTTGATGTCTTGGCATGGTTAATCAGTTTCGAGGAATGTGAACGGTGAGGCGGAGGTTTTACAATCCGCAGAGAATTATGATCTTCATTGTGTTTTTCTATTTTTTAGTCATAGTTCCTTTTAAGTTGATCATCGTGCCTTCCATTCAGGACTCTCAAGGGCGCAGAACAATACTAAACAATGAGTGACATTCAGAAATAACACGCATTTGACAGAACCTTAGTCACCCGGTATTCTTGGTCGAACCATAAAAAAGAGAAAAAGGGAAAACCCTCAGAACCACTTGTGAGTGCTCAGTGTTTGCAACACAATAAGAAAGTGGCTCTGAAAAGTGAATGGTTCAGCAAATCACAACGCTGTCTCTGCAAACATCATTTAACACCCCTCTCTAGATCAAAGTCTGCTAATTTACAGACTTATAGGAAAAGGTTAGTTGGCTAGGGGTGGGGTCGTAGAACTAGCCTGGTAGTACCAGTAAATTTGTTATAATAAGGACCCTATAAGAGACTAAATCTCATTTGCTTCCGATCTAAAGTCATCACTGAGTATTCCTCAATTTTAGGACAAATAGAGAATATATTGCCTGCATCCTTGAGTCCGTTTGGCTGCAATGACTTCAACGCCAAGAATGCACAATCACAACCACTTCTAAAACCACAGCCGAGTCAAAAATTGTACCTGTAGTTTGAGGTGGTGATGGTAGTGGTGGTACCCATCCACCCTCTGAGTGCCATTGAGCAGCATCTCGCCACCCGAATATCCGAGGATCTTTGGACAGATCATCTTTTATTCTGTGAGATGCCGCGGGCAATGTGAACGTCTCATTCTGACATGTTCCAGATGTGAGATGAAAGACATCTTCTTGATCGCAAGCTCTCACATTCAAACATTCCGTTCGGCCAATTTGATAAAAGCCAAGCGTCTAAAAGCCAGGCAGACGACAGGATATTACACATTTTGAAGCCACGGGCGATTTCTGGAAGCCCTACGACGGCCTTTGTGAGAAAGCTTTGTGCTTAATGTTCCAGTGATTTTGTTTTTTTTCCCCCATCAAAAATGAAGAGGCGTTCTACAAGTCCTCCTTTGGGATAAGGGGTTCGGTTCCCTCTGTGGTTGTGAGTGTGAATGGTTGTTCGTCACTATATGTGCGTTGCGACTAACTGGCGATCAGCTCAGGGTGTAGTCTGCCTTTTGCCCGTAGTCAGCTGGGTTAGCCTCCAGCACCCTCCGCAACCCCATTCAGGATAAGCGGTGTTGAAAATGGATGGATGGATAAGGGGTATGACCTCAAGCAGCAGTAGTGACATCATTCTGAGGACCCAGCAAACAAAATAGATAGACAACTCTCTGCAGATCAGATCCATGCGCGTCAATTCACTGGGCATTACATGACTGCAGAACTATGCCAACCTGAAAGAAAAAAGAATGGGCCCTGATCAGTTAAAGCCACTTGTTTTCATGCAACAGAGCTCAAACTTATGGGGAATCTTGGGAAATGATCACAGGCTGGGCGAAGATAAAACGCTAAAGGAAGATAAAAGATATCCTTTTGGAGACGCGCTGATCCCGTGTCGCAGGTGTAGAATAAAGTTGGGTTTGTGTTGGAGATGAGACATATACTGTGGAACTCTTTACTAAAGGCCTTATGAAATCTGGTTGAGACATGTCTGGATAAAGCTTTACATCACTCTTTCTTCAAAGCAACACGTGGTGCCGCACAAAGAAAGTTCTGTTTGATGTCGCTCAACAGGACGGGAAATTGACATGTCTGTGTGAGTCATGAACAAAAAAAAAAAAAGAAAGAAAGAAACAAGAAGGCACGTGCCGATGAGACTTTTGTGTTTCTGTTTTGTAGGCACTGCTTTAAGCGCCCTCCCCCAGGTTCTGATTTCTATGCTCTTCCTTTGCCATGGGGGGCCTTGCTGCTAAAGGGCCTCTGCTTGCCCGGCCTGAAGAGTGATGTCCATAGCACCTGCTGGTTCTTCAAGCAACTCTGTCCACAAGAAAAAAAAAAATCAGGACAAGCCGCTCAATCCTTAGCTCGAAGGAGGAATGAGAGAGGGCAATGATTGGAGGGCGAGGGGAGGGGGGAGTTTTTGAGCCCCTAGCTATCTGAATCTATTCCTCTGTCACCTTAAATGACTTGAGCTCTCTGTCTTCTCACAAATGTTGTTTTTTTTTCCTTTTCCTATCATTTACTTTTTAGACACCGATCATAGCCGTGTCTTACACACTTAGCATGACATGGTTCAGACGCTCTCTCTTACAGCATCCGCCATTTCTCCATTGTGTCGTTTTCCTTCAGTCAGTGTAACTTGAGGTTACTGTGGGCCCCCGATTTTGTCACTGTGTAGCAGCTTAATGGCGATGGTTAAGGAAGAAGGCGCTAATCATACAATGGTTAATTAGGCATAGATCATTTTTATCATCATTTGAAGGTCTGGATTTCTACTATTACTTCATGCGCGATGATAAAAGCAGGAGTGTTGCATCTGACTGTGCTTTGCATCTTCGAATGCCATCCACATACAGCTTCATTTTCAACTGGAACTATGTCACACATAATATCCAAATGGTCTGTTTAAATGACAGAACTTCTACTATGTTTAGGAGATTCTGAAACCTGAAGCTTGTTCGGTGTTCGGAACTGCCCTCAAGCTCTGTAGCAGCATGCATCAACTCAAATGAGTCTTAAAACTCAAATCTCATTTTCAATCCTGACTCCAAAAGCCGAGCACCTTCCTGCCACACGACTGTTAACTGGCAGGGGGGGTCTGCGCCACGGACAGACCCGCCATGCCTTTTAATGAAGTGCCAAATAATGGAGCCTCTCCACAAATGCTGACTGCTTGTGAAAAAGTTACCTCTGTTTTTCGAGTTTTGAAACACTGACATGCATTTGAAGTCAGGGGTGACTCAAAGTTGACCTATATAATTTCAATTAGACTAAAATAATGAGAATGGCACGACACCCCTGGCCAAAATACTCCCGGTTTGGATCAGTTGAATTCTACACCTTCAAAAACAGTCATCTTCTTGATGCCTGGATTTATTGCCCTGCGTTACTTGTAAGAAAACCACACAAATGAGAAATCTCGCGGGATACTCACCCACCTTTACTCCATTATTCCTTGGTTTATGCGCCAAATCTAGATTAGTCCATCACTAATGGTCCTGCTGTCTAATCCTATCTCGCCTTTTAAACCTTTGATCAAACAATATGCCTTTGCATCATACTGGAATACATCACTGTTTATCTATTCGCTTTGTGTTTCAGTCTTTATTTTTTTTCCTCAGGGTGCTAGCATAGAGGCTTTTACTAGAGCAGTCTATCATATAAAACAATCATAGAGTTCGCAACATTTAAAGCTTATAATCGACATATTTTCGTAAACAGCATTATTCTCATTGCGTGTAGTACAATATAATCATGTATCCACGCCGGGGCCCTTTGCAGAGGTGATCTTTTGCCTACTTCGAGTCGGGTACAGTTGCCTTGCCAGTCCGCCAGCTCTTCCACAGCACAGGTGGTCGAGGCTTTGATCCTTACCCTCATTAAAACTCGGAGTTAATCTTTCTCAGATGGATCTGCTCGAGGCTGACCGGGATCTCGTAGACTGAATTCGTTGGTTAAATTGACTTAGACTGGAACCCCAGCATTCACCTCCAATCCCTCAATGCCCTCCGTCACTGGTTCAGTGTGTAACCGTGTCAAACACAAGGACCTTTCATCGCCATTTGTTAGGCATTGAGGACCAAAGCGCAAACTGTACCGTACTTTGAACTGTACCGTATTTTGAACTTCAAGCCCAGTCCTCCGTTTCAGTTTCGTTCTTTGTCACTGCGTCTCATGCAAATATTTTCATCAAATGAATAGGCTCATAAGCCTTGATTAAGAGAGCACCAAAAACCACCGTGGTAGTCAACACTGCCAAGATTATACCATGATGGAAAATATATTCAACCCTCGAGCACTGTGAAGCGTAATAATTCCAGTTCCACCGTAATTATTTTTTTTTCATATCCTCTCAGACAGAGATGTAGATTTCATTAACGCTCCTAGGGTGTGAGGTGTTCTATGATGGGGGAAGATAGCTGGGGGACAAAAGTCCTGATGTTGGAAGTTGTGACAAGGGGTTCGTATTGATATCCGCCACACCCCCACCCCATCTCGGAAGTTATTGTAAATGGAGCCGAACGTCTGTATCCGCACTGTTCGTCATGAATGTATCCTCACCATCTGCACCAGCCGCGCTGCCCTTCAAGAGACCCGAGCAAACCGACGTCAGCGCTTTTGGAATCTTGCTGGATCCAAAATTCAAAGACACGTGTCACACAGATCCAAAGTATACGGTTTGAAGTAATCTCAACAAATAAGCGTGGCTTTACGCCAAGGCCTCTCTGCATGGGCTCGCCAGGTTGCACTTTTGCAATTACATTATGCTGCTGGAAAAATACACCCTGAAAACAAGAGTCTCTTGGTTTGAAATGGTTTTCCAGTGTGTTGTGACAATTTTATCTTGTCTGTTTTGTTTTTGTTTTTGTTTTTTTTTTGTCTAGCTGGTTGTCCAAAGCTTACCTTTTTGACTACAGTCTGAAACGTTGTATCTTTTGTGGATGTAACAATATAAAAAAGTAGTCTGCAGCACAATATGTCATGGAAACGTGAAAGCTTTCAGGCATCCTCTTTTTTTTTTTGTAGATCGTAGCCCAGAGCACATCAGGTTAATGGGCCTTGTGGTGAGGAAGGACAAGCATGTTTGGGCTCGGCCTGAAACGGTAAACCAATACATTATGCTCGAGGAGCTAAACCATTTGCCGTAATGTTTTTTTTTTCCCAGAAAGACTTACACAAGAGAAACCCTACTTTGTCTCTCACTGTTCTCTCCGGTTCTTCATCTCTGTGACCGAGTAATGTTCCTATGCACTTGTTAGCATGTTTTCCTTCTCGAAAATGTTTGTTCTGACACCTTGCCCCCACGTTTTTGTTGTTCATATTCATTTGATCGGGAGTGAGAATTTACAATGATTTGTGTGTTATTAGTCAAGTAACACAACTTTCACTAAGCAAATTTGTTTTAAACCCAGTATCATTTCATACTTCGGCTTACAAAATAATGCAAAATTAGAGACAGAAGCTCGCACTAGACATTCCATCATTTTACCGAAACACATCATGTCAGCCTTCAGCATGGGTACCGTTTAATCCTGTGTATTCAAATCGTTTGGGCCACCCCAAAGGATAACTAGTTTTTTGTTTTTTTTTCTCCCGTGGGAAACGACTATGAACTGACATTATCTCGGAGCTCGGCAAATGAGACTGCCTACACCTAGAATAGCACACAGGCCCCCCTCCTGCCCTGATTGTGACACATTCTCAATCCATGTGAAAAGCGTTACGCCCACCGCGCGGGGAGACTTGCGGGCTGGCATAACAGTGTTACTAGGTCTCGAGCAGAAAGACAATGTATTACTCCTATATTCTGTTTGAAGGTGTGTGCGCAATATTACTCACCAGGCCAAATGTACAGTCCCCTGTCTCTGTTTTGATGTTGAACTGGGCAAAATTAAATGACAAATAAAATAAAACAAGTGTATCAGAAATGGTTGAAATACTGTGTACATATTTGAACTTTTGGTTTCTAATTTATAAAAGATAAGCTTTAGCTCTTGGAGTACTTATTTTATTTGATTTTTTTTCCTTTCATGCGTAGCTTTGTGTTTTTATTTTCTATTTCTGTAAAGTGTGTAAATATATCTTTATGATAATAAGTAATATTAAAAATCTTATTTTAAGAAAATATGGTGTGGAGTTGTCTTTGGCTGAGAAAAAAAAAAGCAAACAAAATGACATGGTCCCTTTCATGCAAGTGCTGAGCAGCTGATAGAATAGCTTCACCTAGTTGGAATAGCAGTAAGTTAAAAAAACAAAACAAAACGAAAAAAAACAGAAAATACATAATACAGTAGTTAACTGTTGATGGTGCAAAAAGACAATATTGCCAAGTAGCAGCAGACCCTCGTATCCCCTCCAAATTTAGCTTAGCTTAGTTTGGCATGGTTTGTTACTTCTATCAATTAGTGGTTGACAGAATGCTTTTGGAGTTCATTCCTGCATGTTTTGAAATGAAGTCATGTTTAAAAAAAATAGTGGCTATATGACTAACTTAAGCGGGGTATACACACAGATATACCGATACTCAGGCCAAAATATACCCCCCGCCCTCCCTTCCCAACTCCTATAAAAGTCACTAAACATCCGATTGTTGAATGTCTCCAAAAGATTATTCCAGTAATCATACTGTGGTTTGGGGTGTGTTAAGAGTTATTTTTACTGGCGTTTTTTCCACATGAAACAGTCATGCTTTACGCGTTATTTGTAACCCATAATTGTAGTGACTTAAAATATGTAACTATGAACACTGAACAGTGTTATGCTGCTGCATATCATGCAATCAATAAAGTGAAAATACTTTAATAATTTCAAACATTGGCAAATTGAAAACAATAGATCCCTCCATCCATCTTCTTCTGCTTATCCGAGGTCAAATCCCGGGGGCAGCGGTTTAAGACATGAAGCCCAGATTTCCTTCTCCCCAGCCACTTCTTTCAGCTCTTCTGGGGTGATCTCGAAGCGTTCCCAGGCCAACCGGAAGACAAGGTGTCTCCTGTGTGTCTGGGTCGTACCTGGGGTCTCCTCCCGGTGGGACCTGTCCGGACCCCCTCACCAGAGAGATGTCCAGGATGCATCCTGATCAGATGCCCAAGTCACCTCATCTATCAATGCAGCTCTACTTTGAGCTCAGATGACTGAGCTTCTCACCATATCCCGAAGTGAGAGCCCGGACACTGTATTCGGGAACGTGTTCTTTCGTTCACGACCCACAACTCATGAACATTGATGAGGGTCGGAAAGTTGATCAACTGGTAAATTGAGACCATTTCCTTGCGACTCAGCTCCTTCTTCACCATGAATGTTTTTAACTGTTCTGTTTGCAAAATAAAGAGTAAAAACAAATAAAAAAATACAAATATATGAATTTTTGGATTGCATCTGCAAATCGAATACACCAAATAATGTTTTTTTTTTGTTTTTTTTTTTGTCACGCTACTCTAAAAAGTTTATTACAAGAATAGCTATTCTTGGACTAAGGAGGCAAAGGCGATAGAGTTCTCATTTTGATGAACGCTAAATAAAACTTAAGTGAGCGCTATAACATGCCCCTGCCTCACCAGCAAAGAGCCTGCGCATTAAAATTCACTCCCTATCTTTTACAAATGTAAAACAACCGGGTCGGAACGCATCCCATGAAGACAGGTAAGCTGGTCCAGCATGTAAAGTGCATACTAAGCATACTAAGCATGTTAAACTGTGCTTTCTAATAAATGGCAGCTGCTGAGAGTACACTCACGCCACTGAGATGTCTACATGTCATACAGTATCTGGTCACCGCTTTAAACTGACTCGTATTGCATACAAATAACAGACCAAGTGAGGACAGCCTATAACTATAATTTTTGAAAAAAACGCAAATTGGACGATATTTGGACCTATGAGGTTTCCGTTGGACAGCGACAATATTGTGCAGCTATAAATCTAATGAGGTTTTAAAGATGCATGAAGTGAATATAAAAATTCAATACAACCGTGTTCAATTGCCAGATTTTTGTGATGTAAAAAGAGAGAGAGAGAGAGAGAGAGAGAGAGAGAGAGAGAGAGAGAGAGAGAGAGAGAGAGAGAGAGAGAGAGAGAGAATAAGACAAGGAATTTCAAAACGTTTTCCACCATTAATATGACATGCAGGCCAGTGGGAATTTTCGGGAGATTCCCGAATGGCCAGTCCATTGTCAATTGTGCACCCCAAAGACCAACCCCCTTGTCCCTCTCAACTGATGATGTGGCTGTATTCAGAATTAACCAATCGCATTTATCCATCCATCCCTTTTCTGAATCGCTTTATCGTCACAAGGGTCGCGGGGCACACTGGAGCCTATTGCAGCTGTCTTCGGGCAGTAGGCGGGGGATACCCTGAACCGGTTGCCAGCCAATCGCAGGGCACACACAGACGAACAACCATCCGCACTCACACTCACACCTAAGGACAATTTTGAGTGTTCTCTCAGCCTGCCATGCATGTTTTGGGAATGTGGGAGGAAACCGGGGCCTGGGACCTGGGGAAAACCCACGCATGCATGTGGAGAACATGCAAACTCCACACAGGAAGGCCGGAGCCAGGATTGAACACAAGGTTGACGCGCTAACCACTAGACCGCCCCGGGGCCCGGGACCTGGGGAAAACCCACGCATGCACGGGGAGAACATGCAAACTCCACACAGGAAGGCCGGAGCCAGGATTGAACACATGAGGATGACGCGCTAACCACTAGACCGCCGGGCCGCCCCCAATCACATTTAAATCCATGTTAAATGAGAGCCAGCACGCAACTGCCAGCATTTAAAATGCCTCTGAATAACCTCAAATACTTTTGAACTGCTCTAGTTGACTTTTCCTGTCATTTCTAGCAGAATCCAACAGGTTTTATGATAATATTGACCGCTATTTGTTATTTTTTTCCACAGTATAAAATGGATTGTGTTTTGTATATTTTATGTATTTTTTTCCATTAAAAGAATACATGTGAGCATCACTAAAAAAACAAAAATACGAATCAGGGTTACAGTTTGTGGTCTTGGGAAGGGAGGGTGGGGGGCGCTATGGGGGAAGGGGGACATTGCTGCGAGGCCAAACGTCCCTTGAAAGAGTTCAAGGTCCATCTGGCATTGTGACTCGGGTCCTGTTCACTGTCACTGTTGGAATGCGTGTCGCTGCCTGTCAGCCACTAGACTTCTGCTGAGGGGAGGGATGGCTTGGCGGTCCATGTTTGGTTGGCTGGAAGACAAAAATAAAACACTGGGTCCTCTACAGTGTAGATAATAAGACACAGTTGCAGTGTAATGGTTGACATGACACATTACACACATTATTCTTCACGCGTTAACTTTCACAAGTCAGCACTGTGTCTCTATTTCTTTACCCCCGGTATAATCATTGTCATGATTATTATTACAGTGTTGCCTTGAGATACGAGTGACCCAAACGAGCCGTCATTCGGATGACTTTGATTCGTGACCTCAAACTTGAGATGTGGGTGCGGTATGGTGGCAGTTAACTCATCTCAACTTACTTCACAAAAAGCAGCTTGGCATCTGGTCAACAGTTCTGCAAAAAAGAGACTTTAAGCTTTTTAATGTCACTCGTAGTTGACAGGCTTGCGGTCAAAGGGATCAAGAAACTTTCGAGATATGGGAACATTCGTCCTATTCCTGATACGTTGGCTTGTCATTATAATTTTATGATTGGTTGTCTTTTATGATTTCATAGCCTCAGTTTTGCTGCAACTGCAACATACAGTGACCATAAAGGCTTTCACTTCTATTTATGTTCATTCACTCATTCTGTACATCTCTTAGTTACAGTTGTGTCTCATTTGGGGTCTACAAACAAAGTTGAGTTGAGAGTTCAGCCAATGTCCTGTGCATCCTGTATCGTGGGAGCTGAGCCCCTACTTTCCACAGGATTTAGTGACAGCCCTCAGTCATGCAATCATTTGCTAATTTATTAATTTAACCCTTTCAGGGACAGCGTTTACTACAGTGGACAGCTTATCATGTTATCGGGTTTCAGGGTGCATAAAAGTGTTAATATTATTTCTACTGTTCTTACTATTATGATGTGTTTCATAGGTACAATGCAGGTCTTCAATTGGAAAATGACAGAGCTGGGTGATTCGTTGGCTGGCTGAGGCAGCGACAATTGAGCCTGATGACCAGCAACAAGTGGCCACTTGAGAAAAAAAAATGTCATCAGGTTTCATCAGTAAATGATGGGCACAGTGCTAACTCTACCACCTCTTTCCTCTCTATCAATACCACCCATACCTTATCTCTGGTACTACATTGCCAACAAGCAGTGGAATGAGTCTGAGCAGAGTTGCATTTTCATGTCCATTACCTCTGATTGAAGAAAGAAACACTTTGGGAAGTGTCACTTTGGGAAACACTTTGGGAAGTCACTTATATCAACTCAAAATCCTTCACAATCTTTCCTCATTTATCCTACTCATCATGTAGCATCCGGAGCAACTCGAGGTTCAGTAGCTTGCTGAAGGACACGAACATGGTCAGTATGGATGAGAATTGAACCCCCAAACTCTGGTTTGGAAGATGACCACTCTGTCCATAAGCCATGCTGCCCCCGAGTAAAAAATTAAAGTCACAGCTAATTGATATGGCAAATAAAAATTGTCTTGCAAATTGAATTAATATTGGGCT